AAAATATACACAAGATTTGACAAGCTTAAGCAACATTACAAATCCTTGCATTATCCAATTCTCTAAGGTTTTAAGCCTAACAGCATTAGGAAATGAAAGAATAATTTTGAGAATAAGTTTCACTGATTAAAAATTTAAATCAAGTAAGGTTGTCCTTTTAATCAGAGTTTTTATAATAATAGAATCACTTAGCACAAAGCAATAAATTTTTAAGCAGAAGAGGAAGTGGAAAATACAAATCATGTGGATAAAATATCATCTCATTCCATCATTTAAAAGGAAGAAAAATTGGATTTTGGGGGAGGCAGAGAAGAAAAGAACCAGTTAACCAAAAAAAAAAAAAAAAAAAGCTCTGTCAAATATCACCCAGCTTTTAGAATTCATTTGAGTCCAGAGCCCTATGGGCTCAAGTATTACGCCAGGGTGCAAAACAAAAAGATGATAAAACATGTATGCTCCTGAAAAAAAGGAATCAAGTTACTTAAAAAATAATAAAAAAAGTAGGAGAAAACCATTTTGCAAGTACCTATAGTTCTTCTCAATTTTTAATTTGGTATCTGTGTGTTTTTCTCTTCTTAATAAACACTATAATTTTGTTTTGTTAGCATAATTAGCTTTAATAGAGCAAAATTACAGAAGTTAATAATGCTAACAGAGTATAATTAGAGTGTTTAATTAAGAGGGGAAAAAACCCAGGTACCAAATTAAAAATTGAGGGAAACTATAGGTACCTGCAAAATAGTTTCCCAAAAAATAAGTCACAAGCCAACAATAATAATTGTTGAAGTCATTATACTAATTATTTAGTTGACTTACCTTGCTCACGTAATCTAATTTTCTTTCCTCCTCCCCCCCCCCTCATGAGCTAATTGAACCGAAAAATCACAAAAGAAAGAATATCAAACCCAGTACTAACAAGGAACTAAGTATATTTAAGTTATGAACGCTAATTTAAAGGTAATATTAACATTTACAGTCACAGACACTAAATGGGATGATCTGGATTCTAGCAAAGAGTTCTAATCATGACTCTGGCTTCTGGCTAAGTGTTATAGTTATTACTCCCGACTGAAACTCAAGCTCCACTGTCAGTAATTGGACTTCAACCCATATAGACCAACTAATAATACAATCCATTGACAGATCAGGATCCAAAGTATATTTGCAGGCTCGCAGCAGCAAGTACAACAATGTCTTACATGCCTTTAACCAGGTAGTCAAATCATCCATGCATAAATTAAATAGTCCTCAGTTGACGAGAAGATATCAAACTTTTTTCTATCATTAAATCCTTGTTCGCACACATTCGACCATATAAACATGCATATTGAAAGGTTCAATTTAAGATACAAGGATATCAATGCATACCCGAAAAAGACTTGATGCCCACTCATCAACAACAGCCTGCATATGTAAGATCATTTTTAGCAACCAAACACAATATCATCCTGGAAACATACCACACATGCATAGAAATATACATATACACACAACCATACATAGAGAGAGAGAAGATTAATTGTTGTCAAAAATTAAAATTTATTCAGCCCCATGTGGAGTTAAATGAAAATAATCAATAGTAAACTAGCCTTGAATAAAAGAGCCATTAATAGCAATGACAATCATTTTGGTGTCAATGTAACTAAATTTTATACTTCTGCCATTTAATCTCTGTCAGACATTACACTACCTGAAGATCAGTATTAAATTTGCCAGCTCTCCTAATGAAACCTGCCAGAAAACGTAATATTAACATGTCAAGGGAAATTGCAGCTTGGACTCCTGGTCTTTGGACTTTAACAGCAACAACCTGCCTCCTTTGGCGAAGCCTAGCTTGATAAACCTACCCACACAAAGAAGTTCAAATTTTCAGGAATTTTGAGATACACTTGGAAAAACAATTAAGAATTCACAAAACTTCCAAAACCTTAGGAAGATAAAACCATAAAAATAAGTAAACCTGGCCCAGGGATGCTGCAGCTACAGGCATAGGTGAAATCTCTGAAAAAGTTCATCAATAGGCAAACCAAGTTCTTGTTCTATCATACTGAAAGCAACTTCCGTAGAAAACGGGCTTATTCGATCTTGCAACAATGAGAGTTCATCCACATATGATGGTGGTAACAAATCCTACAAGAATAATTTATTTAAAATTTTTGTATATCAAATTTTCGTCAATGTTATATGGAAACAAGCCTGCAAACACATAAATGAATTCCCATCCTCCTAGATAAGCAAGAAAACAGACATGGAGTTTAGAAAGTGATTGAGATTAATAAAGTTAATATATCTTATGCAAGTAATTACCAAGATAGGACACCAATGGTGAATTAAATACCCAAACAACAATCAAGTTATAAATACTATCAAATGCCTACGTATAGGCCATTGGCCCATTACAACAAAAGATCAAAAAGAGCAAAAGTAAGAATATACATCAATAGGGAACATTCTAATACGAAGTGCAACAGAATGGCATGCTTTGTATATGTACTTTAAATAGCATAACTGAATTTGAAGAGAGAATTAATCCCAAATGACGTTTTTATTTGCACTCATTTAGCATAATGAAAATTGACAAGAAAAAGAAGCTTTATCATCAAGTAAATAACAATTCAACAGGAAAGTTATATGAAGTGTATTAAAAGACCAGCAACACATAGAAGGAACACTTAAAAAAAAAAAAATATCAGACTGGATGTAACTTACTGGACGAGATGAGACAGCCTGAGCAATTTTAATATATGCCTGCGAGAAAGTAACAAAACACTTCAATTTTTAAAATGAAGTTGCTTTTATCCAAAGCGATTGAAAGAGTTGTAACTGATATCACTGGATTAGATTAGAAATTTTAGTACACTAGCATCATATAAACAAAATACTGACATGCGACAATAAACAATATCATCCACAAAACTCAGCATCCATAGCAGAGTAGCCTTAAATAACAGAACCGTTGTGGTTACAAAAAATGCACATTGGACCTACCAAATATTATGAGATATTCCATAAAAATGGCAGTTAGGCATGGGACTCTCTTAGGCATTACAACAAGAACCTTGATAAAAAATATCAGTAAAGGTGAGTTGATGCAGACACTTCTACAAATTTAAGATGATTATCAAGCGATACATTGAATTTTTACTTAAACAGTGCTCCATGCCCGAGGATTTCCAATTTAGAGGATTGACATTCTGAAAATTACATAATGTACTTCATTCTTCTCCAGCTGCCAAAGAATATAGCAGATATATGGCTCAAAAGGACGTCAAAGGCAAAACCTGGAGTGAGAAAAAGAATGAAGAAAACAGAGGGAACATTTATAATAAACAGTATAACTCAACCGGACACTCACGAATCATAATGATTCAGTTCAACAACAAGATGAAAATCCAAAAACCCAAAAAGTTCATGAAAACTTATTGAAGAAAACGAAATGCAGAAACCTCGGCTTGAACAAACTGAAAGCTGCAATGATTGAGCTGATCCATTTACACCACTTGAACAAAGTCACACGGTAATTCGACGTCTTAGAAAAACAGTATGGACCCCATTTATCATTACCAATCAAAATCAGAATGACACCAAGTTGTAGGAAAAGGGGATCAGAAAAAAGCCCAAGACTTTATTATAGTTTAAAAAACTTGACATACCGGCCCAAGTTCCACCAATATCTTCCTGAGTTCTGCAGCTCTAACCTACAAGTAAAGAAACAAAACGGAACATTCAGTGCTTGCCAACGCAACCCGCAAATCATAAGCTTCAAAAATATTTATCCTCGCGTAATAATGAAAATCCAATCTCTCCATCAGAAACATACTGCAAATAAACCAATTAGGTTGCACAAAACAAAATTTACAAACCTCAAACATTTCATCAGACCGCTCCATCAGTCTGTCAATGAAACGGAGGCCAAACCATTTGCCAAAAGTAGTTCCTATCTGAAACAACCGGCGAATAACAATCAAAGGCTTTCTCCTATAAATGGCAGCAATCTTAGATATCCTGTACTCAGCCAGAGAGTCCGCCTCCGAGTCGCTGAGCTCGAAGAGGTAACCAGACTTCGCCGTGAAGGTATCGACTTCACCACGCTCACCACCGGCAGCGATGGCAGCACATATGCCGGATCGGTGGGTCCCAGAAATTTGACGGGGATGAGGGAAAAGTGGAAGAAACCAGAAGGGGCGAGACGAACGGCATTGGTTGAGGCATAGAGAAGAAGAAGATTGGGGTTTGCGAGTGGCGGGAAACGATGAGAGAGAAAGAGAAGGATGTATAAGCATTTGTAGCGGGAGGACCGTCAACTGTAAAGTGGAGTCACAGTATGAAGGTGGGAAGGAATGGAGTGGAATTTTGCAGAAGCTATTTGTTCCGTAACTCTCAGAAAGTCTCGACCTCAATTTTTGTGAAGAAAATATTTGAAAATGCCACAAGCTAGCTTCGGGACCGCGCATGGCTTATCTTTTTTTTGACCAGAACCGTGTGGCTTACCTTATTGTCAGATTTTCAAGATGCTAAAATTATATCGACGTAAGCATCAAGCTACAGGCATTAGGGCATATATTTATAAAAATTCTTATCCTTTTTAAATAAAAAAATAGATGTTGGCACAAAGAAAATTAAAAAAAAAAAAAACAGATAAAAAGAATATGCGAATAATGTGGCATCAAGCTTGCCTATTAGAACCTTCCACAACTAACTCTCCCGATAAATATCATTAATATGATAAGTGTAAATCTAAAAAGAGATTCTCATCTAAAAAAACTATCCTATCAAATGAAAGAGTCTCTTAAACTTATAAATTAGTTCACAAATTATTTATGTATAGTAAATATAATTCCAGTGTCCAAACAATACTTATTATAACTCATTAATTAACCCATCGCTCATATAATTAATAAATAATTACTTAATTACTAAAACAATCTCGAACAGCATCATTTTTCTTTCTTCTCAACTATATATAAAAAACAGTCAGGACAATATATTGTTGTCGCATATTTCTACATCACAAAGTCATTCTATTACGGCATATTAACTTGATATGCATAGTTTACAATTAATTCAGTAATCGGTTTATATCATTAACTTCAGTACTTGTTACAAATCATAACATTTGAATTGCGAATTACACGATCCAGAACAATTGTTGATGTTGATTCAACCATTGACTCTGTTGATTTCTTGAATCATAAGATCTGATCTAGAAGTACAAGATTTTGATTCCTCTGTAGTCTGTTCTCAACCATCTCATTATCCACGTACCTACTGAAGCCACTAGCACAACAAAGTGACCAAATTTGTATACTCATATACATCCATTGACAAGAATGTAATGGCTACAATCTCCAAATCGTTCCAATTTCATCGGATGTGCCCAAAGGAACGATGGAACACATTCTGATCATGCACCCAAATCCCACATATGTAATCTAATTGACTTGCTGAGAAAGAAGAACAAGCAGCCCTTGAGGTCCCACCAATATCTCATTAAGAAAACTGAGTAAACCAAACCAAACCACTGGAGTCACGTCCACACCAGCGAGCGGAGGGATCACTTTGCGGGTCTGAACAAGAAGTGGTTCTGTGGGAGCATAAGCTATAACATATGGGAACTTTCCCACAGGAAGCTTGGGATACCAGGACATGACTATTCTCAAGATAAACAGAAATCCAAACACTGACAGAAAGGGACCTAAAAACCCAATTGCTAGCTTTGCAGTGGCAGGATCCAAATCTGCAAGAGCCAACGTCAAGTTGAAGTTTGTAAGAGGAAGTGCATGTGTTATTTCTGTTGTGGCCTGCTTTAGAGTATTGGAAACTGCATTTGAGTTGGAAGAGGCCATCGATGAAGTCACCACCGCATCCAACGTTGAGAATACAGTGCCGGCACTACATTGCAAGTTTTGAGATCGACCATCTGCAGCTCTCTTGGTTGGAAAACTTGATCTTTCCTGCAATACTTGAAACGTCAGATTATAAGGTAAGTAGAACATGGTACCAGTAAGTACAAAAGCCAAGCATTCTATTCAGTCGTCATTCAAGTGCCGGATCCTATAAAGTAAGGTGTGGCCACCAATTTAACATATATAGCAGTAGGTTAAATGTACTATAAGAGTTGCATTTGAATGCTAAGCGTAATATAAGAGTTGCATTTGAATTTGATGGAATTCAGAAAAACAAAAACAAAAACGATGACCAGTTATGAAAATTTGTACAGTATCCATGCTTCTTTGGCTTTTTTTTTTTTTAAAAAACGATGAAATTTCGTAAATGGCTGTAGGTGATAAGTGATCTCCTCGGAGTACCAAATACAACTTCATATTTACTCTCTAAGTTAAGCCAAACGGAATCATTCAGTGTCAAGTAGAAATAAGCAAAGCAGAGGTGGATAGCAACTCTGTTTTGATGGAAGCAACTTTAATTAGCATATCAATAATTCAATTAGAAGAATGCCGATTAATGCCAATCTCATGAATCACACATAGATGAATGTCAAGTTGCAATAAAAATTGTTGAAAACTGATTAAATTAAGCTTGCTAAATCTGTAATTGTTCTGCATTTCTTCACTGATCTAAAGATGCTGAGAGAGAGTGAAAGAGAGAGAGATGGATTAATAGACAATTCAAACACAATAAATAATTTGAACAACAGCAAAATCAAATGAATATTACTTTAAAAAGAAATTGAACCTAGGCCATATAAAAAGTGTGTTATGGATGATCTGTGAACCTATTCAACATTTAAGCAGAATACTAGTTTCAGATATCCCCTAGCAATACTCTACTGCTGCTTAGTGCCAATATAAGATCAAAACTTAGATACTTAATCCTTGTCCGTTATTGGTGTTCACCTGAGGACCATTTTCAAATAAAAATCTATGAAGGACTGAAATGAGACACTAATGCCTAACCTTTGGAACCAAGAATTCATTCTACTCAAGAAAGAGTGACCTGGCAAACAAAATCATTCTCAAAATCAGGAATACGAGCTTGTTGGCTGAATCTTGGTAGAGGCAAGCATGTTATCTTTTTCTCGTTAGCATTTGGGTTAGGTTTGTATTTCCCCTTTCCTTATCATCAGCAATAACCACACAAATTCAAGATAAGAGCAAATAAGAACATCAATTGAAGCCCCAAAACAAGCAAAATTAAAGTGAATGCTCCAAATTATTCAGCCCTTCGAAGCATTCCCACAAGAAGTTTACGGATTTCCTACTGGCTACAATAGAAGCTGCACGGAATTTTCAAATTAAAGAACACATAAAGGGGAGCGGAAGATACTCACAGAGACATTGAAATTGCTCGGCTTATATATAGAAGGTTTCCATCCTACATAATTGAATACAGAAAGAGAGGAGATGGAAGTGAAAAAGAAGACCACTTGGAAAATCCACAAAGAGTGAAAACGGAAAAAGTAAAAAAAATAAAAAAGAACAATACCTTTTACATGAACGATGTTCGGAAGATAAGATTGCGAAGCTAGCATTATCAGCAGTGATAACGAGAGAGAGTACGATAGTGAGGGAGACCGTGGTTTTTGATATCGAACTGCATTTTTCCGGGTACGCTGTCGTGAATAACAAATAACCTCGGGTGAAATGGTAAGATGACCCGAATCCGACGTGGAGGCTTCTTTTGATAAGCTATTGTGCCACGTGTGCTTCTCCCACTTGCTACATAGGCAACATTCTCCAATCCGCACACGAGTGAAAAATTTACACGCAAAAATGTTAAAGCTTCATAGACATATTTCTTGTATTGCCATAACTTACTTTGATTGTGAAGAAATACAAACTATTTGAGTAGGGTTCAATTTTGGGATCTCACCTATTTTGCTTTTCCTGTTTAAGACTTGTATTGAATTGAGTTACTCAGGTTGTACTAACATTTTCAACATTTTTTTTTTTTTATGAACATTTTCAACATTATTGATTTAACATTATCACATGCAAGAAGAATTTGTTGAATGGTCTTTTTCTCCATTCAAATTTCAGTGGCGCTTCACAAAAGAATGTTCATGCATTGTTTTAAACGTTTACTAGCCACTCCTTTTTTAAAAACTGATGTTGTGTTTCTGTTAGTCTAACTTTAGTTGTATGGTTTTTCTCATTTTATAAAATTGATCTGCAGATACCTCTTCTATCTTAGAATTAAATCTTTATGCGCTTATCATTAGACCAAATTTGTTGATGACATGAAGTCTCTCCATTTTTCAAAAGAACTTTGGGAGAAAACATATGATGAGCTAGTGTCTCTCAGCTTCTCTCTCTCTCGATTTTATTTCATTCACATTTTCTCTTACTCCTCCGGTCCTTAATATAGGACCCATTTAACTAATTTGATTAGATTAAGAAAGTTAGGTAAGTTAGTTAATTATAAGAAAAGTGACACATTTTTCCTAAAACACCATAATCATCTTTTTTAATACTCCATCTCCCTCTTCTATTTAATTATGGTTGAGGGAGTATTTATAGGGATAATTTAGAGAAAATTGATAAATATGAGAAATGGGTCTTATATTTAGGACCAAAACCAACTCAAGAATTGGGTCCTATATTAAGGACCAGAGGAGTATTATATAAAAAGGAGAAAATTTATTCCCCCTTACTTTCCTTGTTTTCTCTTTCCTTACTTCTGTTTTAGGGTGTGTTTAGATGAAACCAAACCATAGTTTGGAGAATAGCTTCTGGAGAATAGATTCTGAAAAAAATAGATTTTGGGAAGAATAGATTTTGTGAAAAAGTGATTTTGAGAAGTGTGAGTGTTTGGATAGTTGTTATTAGAAGTACTTTTTATATATACAAATTGGCATAAATTAATATGATAATTATAGAAAAAATATATTTTATGATATATTTTAATTTGAAGGAATAAAATTGTTAATAATATATTTTTTATTAACATATATTAATAATATATAATATAATATAATTAATAAATAATTAATATGTATATATATTTATAAGATATAAGATTAAATATGTTTATAAAAAAACAACAAGATACATATTCTATAGGCTCTCACACTCTCCCTTTTTTCTCTAAAAGTAAAAAATTTCTGCTTTTCCCAAAACCATGGTTTTGAACCCAAACCATGGTTTTGATTTTTTTAAGGGTGTTTGGCTAACATTTTTCCCAAACCATGGTTTGGGGTGCTTGCCAAACACACCCTTAATCTCATTATAGATATTGATTACATGAAGAGAATAAACAAACGAGATACTTCTTCGATCCTTAATCCTTAATATAAGACCTATTTAACTAATTTGATTAGATTAAGGAAGTTAAGTAAGTTAGTTAATTATAAGAAATATGACATGTGTTTCCTAAAACACCATAATCATCTTTTTTAATATCTCTCTCTCTCTTATTTGATTATGGTTGAGGAAGTATTCGTATGGGTAATTTAGAAAAAATTAATAAATATGAAAAATAGGTCTTATATTTAGGACTAAATCAATTTAACAATTAGATCCTATCTTAAGGATCGGAGGAGTACCATAAATATTTTTTTCCCCTATCAGTCTTGGCCAGCATCTCTTAGATATCTTATTGGGTACCACAAATAGAGAACAACCAGGTAATAAAAGAAATCCTATGGGTTATTGGGATATGCCTTTTGAGACTTGAGATGGAAACTTGGCTTTGCAAGTTGCAACACAGCTAGAATGACAATGATTATCAATACAAATAGGACAGATTTTGCCAGCGGTGCCACTACAAAACTCAATGCATGAACACAGGAACCATAGTCATCTGTTGCCACATGAACACCAGCCTGCAAGTTTCATAAATGTTTATCTAATTTTTTTCCGTACTGTATAAAGCTGGTGATCGATTAATTAATTTCAGGAAATCTTACATCTCAAGCAAAATCCATGCAAAAAAAAAAAATTAAAGCAACGGATTAAAAAATAATGGAAGAAGTAATCGGTGAGAAGTATCTATATAATCTATAAATAACTTGTTCAAATAAGTTGTGTTTTCTGTGGTTTTCCCATGTTACAACTTTTGTCCAATTCTGTCGATAAGGAATGGATCGGTTGAAACAATGGAGGGATCCGAATCGGACCTAAATGGGAATGACATGAAAAGTTTTCAATTAAATCACTGTTTGTATATATTTGGTTGCAATTTAGCTTATTTATTGATTGATGACTTTTTCCCCCCCAGTTTGTGCATTGCTTCAAAATAAAGGGAACATTCATCCGGGCAGGTTCTTCAGTCACACTTGATATATATTTTTTGTTATTGTTAGTTGTTTAAATATATATATATATATATGCACTTATAAAATTACCTATAGACTATGGATACATGTTACTCCTTCAGTCCTAAATATAAGACTTAATTATTGAATTGATTTTGGTCCTAAATATAAGACCTATTTCTCATATTTATCAGTTTTTCCTAAATTATCTCTATGGATACTTCCTCAACCATAATCAAGTAGAAGAGAGAGGAAGGATATTAAGAAAGATGATTATGATGTTTTAGGAAAAACATGTCATATTTCTTATAATTAACTAACTTACCTAGCTTCCTTAATCTAATCAAATTAGTTAAATAGGTTTTATATTAAGGACCGGAGGAGTATTTTATTATTCCTAGTTGTTAAAATACGTATGCATACTTGTATATTTACTCAACTTGATAAATCAAAGGCACCTTGGCCGAAGTTTTGTTAGAATACGTATTTATCACTTTATGGGAACAAATTAAAGGATAAGAAGTGTAATATATAAATGAATGAAATTACATGATGCTGAGTAGCAGGAAAATGAAGCAAACAAAAACTTCGCCATATGCAATGGAGCTTCTCACAGCACTATAAAGCCTGAAAGAATTGTAACTCTCTACTGCTGATGGAGGAAGGCTTCAGGAGAGTTAAATTTATACAACAGCTCCCACATTTATCATATATTTCTGTTTTGGCCTGAAATTCTAGGGGCTTTTGGAGGGTAATTATTGTGGATTTTTAAACATACTACTATAATAAATACAATTATAACATGCATATGTTAGTTTATTATTTTTTTAAAAAAGCACGTTAGCTGAGGAATGCCTCAGAAAAGTCAATTATAAGCTTCAAATGACATAACTGATTAGCGTACAGTTAATGCAAGTAATCTGTAAACTAACGGTTTCCATTTCAGAATTTTTTTTTAAAATAAAAGGGAAACGTTAACTATTCATTTACCAATTATTTTACCTTCTTATGTCTCAATCTACTCCAATCATATATTTCATGCCGTAATTCTTTTTGGTAAAAATTATAGCAATTAAATCAAAGATATTTTAGGTTGGCAAAAAAAAAAAACATATTTTAGTAAAATACTATTAAATTTTAGGGGGAAATGGGAGTAAATCTCTCCTTGAAAAATTAATTGGCAAATAGCCCTTAGGATGATGGATAAACTTTTTTTTTTTTGGATAAAAAGGGAAAAAATATTAATAATATAAATATAAAGTATATCATAAAGGCAATACCAAAGAAGGAAAAAAAGGTTAGCAAATATAAATGAAGAATGATTAACTACTACCACAGTTAACTATAGTAAATAGAGAGAGGTCAAAATATTCTCAAGACTACACTTCCTATTCCTTTCATTTGACCAGCCACCTGAATAAATTGTCTAAATGGGTACCAAAAGTTGTAGTGATGTGATCTTAGAAGGGAAAAGAGAGAATTCAATAATCTTAAAAAGAGTGAAATGGAGATACTCATAATTAAATAAGTGATCCCCCTCTATTTTTCAATTCATCAAAAGTGTTGAAAAAATTGACCTTAAAAATAAAATATTTCCTATCATAATTATAAAACTTTATTTATAGACTGTAAATGAGGTTTTATAATTAGGACTGAAAAAAATATTAAGAATGATAAAAAATAACGTATATTTTTCTGCTTCTAGTTTTATGCAGTATAATGGTCCAACAAATGGTATTAATGAATTTACAAATTGATTCAGAAACAACATAATGCCAGTAGCCAAATGTAAATTAGCCTAATCATGAGTGAAGGCTAGACTGGAGAATAACACGATATTCATCGGTGAGTTATTTTTCCTTTTTACTTTTCTTTTGTCAATTTGAGAGTCAGAACGTCACGTCGTTTGAGGCGTGCAACAAGACGCGTTAGATTTTGCCGACTCTCTATTCGCTTTGGCCCAAACAAAAAACGACTCTCCATGCTCTTCTCCAATTTCGTCGGGTTCTCGATGTCCCTCGCGGTTGTGCCTGAATAGCTTTAGATACCTGGTCGTCATTAGATTTTCATGTTGAATTTACGTAAAAAGTTTGTCAAATTTTGAGTTTTCTGCTCAACGTTTGCAAGATTGCGTGAATGAAGCTTATAGTTCATAGGAACAACTTCACAAAAATCTCTGGCAATGAGCAACTTCAATATCATGCGGGACATCGCCAAACGCTGCTTCCTCCAACCGCGCGATAGAAAATTAGCGTTAGATGGCGGTGCTTTACGCGAATTCCGTTCTTTTACATATTTGCGCCAGTGCCCACCATGTGTTCGATATTATCAC